ACTCAATTAATCAAGTCTGTTGGCACGTTCTAATCAGAACGCTCCAGCGTGCTGCAGTGTCTCATGTATGCAGCATCCTCACATTTCAAAATGGCAGCAGGGGTACTTTATCTAAGGTTCATCAAATGAGCTTTAGTTAAAACACCCCCCACCCACACCATTTTGAAACATGGGATGCTGAACAGGAGATGCTGTGGCCATTTTAATTAGAGCGGCTTCCAATACCCAGTCTAATTAAAATGCCCCAGCCCACCACCCCAGAGCACATGTATATGTGTCCATAGTTAGCTGTGTTAGTCTGAAGTTAAGTAAGAAACAGGGTAGATCTGTACAAACTTCCATGGGCTGAAGCTCAATGAAACCCCTTATGAAGTGAGCCCCAGCCAAGAAAAGCTTGTGCTAATAAATCTACTTTGGTTATTCTATAAGGTGCAAATCAATTCTGCCTTAGTTTGTGGTCATTGCCTGCATCATAGAAACTACCGACCTTGGCACTAATTGGGTGCATTTATATGAGATGCTTTACAGCATAACAGACTAATATAATGCATAGAAAAGTGTCACTATCTACAGGTGCACAGCAATTACTGTGCAGCACATTATTCTAATGAGCTGTTTTCTAGTACCTGTAGATACAGGTAATAGAAATTGGCACATTAAACTAAAGCACTGAAGCGCACATGTTGATGCTGGCCAGGAGCAAATTAGCAATTTGTTCCATGCAAATTGTTCCCAGTCAGTATAGGCAACGGGGGCCACAGGGAGAGTTGTCCTGGCTTGATGGGATGCTACCTGCCAGCCATTTGGAAATCAGGACCCGTCCTGATTAGACCTACATTTTGCTGTCCTGATCTCCATACAGCTGTCAGGCACCTTCCCAGGAGCTAGGACAGCTGTCTCCTGCCCCACAGAGACTTGGACCAGCCTCCTTACCCCCTGCCAGCCTAGGGCTGGCACCCAAGGGAGCCTGGAGCTCCCCCTGGATGCTGCAAGGGGGCAGACCAGGGAAGGAGCAGCCCTATACAGTAATGGCCTGCACTTGTAGAGATCAGATTAGAAAAGCCAAGGCAGCGACTGAACTAAAATTAACAACAGAATGAAGGAGAACAAGAAGTCCTTCTTTAGCTACGTAGGGAACAGGAGGAAAACAAATAGGAGTGTCGGGCCATTGCTCAACAACTCAGGGCAGCTGGTTACCAACACTCAGGAGAAAACTGATCTCCTGAATGACTACTTTGCTTCAGTATTTCACCGAGCCAAGGGAAAAATCATGCCAGATAGGGTACAGAATGAGCAGGGTAGAAATGACTACCTTCCTACTATTGCCATAGAACTGGTATGTGATCAATTAAAAAAATTAGGCATATTTAAGTCAGCAGGACCAGATTAACTTCATCCAAGAGTGCTGAAGGAGCTGGCAAAAGTCATTGTGAAACCCCTGGCAAAACTCTTTCAAAAACTCATGGCACTCTGGAGAGGTCCCTGAGGACTGGAAGAAGGCCAATGTTGTGCCCATCTTTAAGAATGGGACAAGGGAGGACCCAGGTAACTATAGGCCAATTAGCCTAACTTCTATCCCAGGGAAAATGCTGGAAAAATTAATTAAGGAGTCTATGTGTGATAGGCTTGCAGAAGGTAGGATTCTGAATAACAGCCAGCTTGGCTTCATCACAGGCAGGTTTTGTCTTACCAATCTCATCTCCTTTTATGATCAGGTAACTCACCACCTGGATAAGAGAGAGGAGGTTGACATTGTATACCTTGACTTCCAAAAAGCTTTTGATCATGTTCTCATGAAAAACATTGGAGGACTATGGGCTTAACTGTGAGACAGTCAGGTGGGTAGGAAGCTGGCTATGGGATAGGACCCAGTGAGTTCTAATAAATGGATCTATGTCATTTTGGCAAGAAGTGGCCAATGGTGTCCTGCAGGGGTCAGTGCTTGGTCCAGTCCTATTCAACATCTTCATCAATGATTTGGAGGTGGGGGTGAAGAGATCACTGGCCAAGTTCATGGATGACACCAAGTTATGCGAAAGCATGATCATGCTTGAAGATAGGCTGCAGATACAGGTGGACCTAGACAGGCTGGCAAGTTGGGCAGATTGGAACCAGATGAAGTTCAGCATCAAGAAATGTAAAGTGCTTCACGTGGGGATGACCAATCCCCTCTACACCTACAGGCTTGGCAACGCCAATCTGACCAGCACTACAAATGAAAGGGACCTGGGGATAATAACAGATCACAGTATGGACATTAACCGGCAGTGCAAAGCCATAGCCAGCACAGCTAATAATACCCTGGCATGCATCAATCAATGCATCTCCATCAAAACCAAGGAAGTGATTCTTCCACTCTACTCAGCACTGTTGAGACTGCAGCTGGAGTACTGCATCCAATTCTGTGCGCCACACTTTAATGAGGATGTGGTAAACCTTGAGAGAGTCCAGAGAAGGGCCACCTGTATGGTCAGAGACTTGCACTGCAAGCCATACGAGGAAAAGCTGAGGGACCTGTGACTCTTCAGCCTGGAAAAGAGAAGGATGAGAGGGGACTTGGTAGTAGCTTACTGCTACATCGGGGTGTATATCAAGGGCTTGGTGAACAACTGTTCACAAGGGCACCCTTGGGGAAAACCAGGAGTAATGGTCACAAACTCCTTGAAGACCATTTCAGGCTCAACATTAGGAAAAACATATTCACAGCTAGGGTGTCTAGACTATGGAATATGCTCCCTCCAGAGGTGGTGCAATCACCTACCCTGGAAATCTTCAAGAGGAAACTGGATAGTCACCTTGCTGGGGTTACCTGACCCCAGTTGCCTTTCCTGCTTGGTGCAGGGGGCTGGACGCGATGATCTTCCAAGGTCTACAATCTATGAATCTATGCATCTAGATGGAACTGCTCTCAATGGGAGTAAATTTGCTCCCAACAGGTGCACATTCAGATGCATGTAAGGGCACAGTTTAATGCACCTGAATTTTCTGAGCAGAAAATTCAGGCGCATTAAACTGTGCCCTCACATGCATGTGTAGATGTGCCCACTGTAATTTAAACAGTATAACTTTCATTTGGTGTGCCCTCTAGGGCTGTACGAAGCTTCAGTCACAGATTTGATTGGGCAGAGATTCTGCCTGATTTTGTGGCTGAATCCCCAACTCTCCAAATCAAAACCCTTTAATCCCTCCAAATCAAATCGGAACCCTCTGAATTGATTTGGAAAGATTCGGCAATTCGGACATAGACACAGCTTTAAATGTTTTTTTTACATAGCTCGAGGTACTAGGCAGCTCATGAATGCTGTGATGCTGGGGTGGATGGAGCATCCCATAAGAGTGCGGGGGGAGGGGGGGCAGTCCCCAGAGTGCTCAGCAGCAGACCCAGAAGTGGACCAGAAGCACTCAGCATTGAATCTTCATATTCGGATTCAGCTGAATGAAATTGGGGACAGTGATATGAATCAGTGAATTGAATCACTGTCCCTGATTTGGGACCAATCTGATTTGAATAGGGCCCATTTCGAACACCCCTAGTGTCCTCCAAGCACAGAAGATACCTAGGCTCTTAAACTACCAGGATTATTGATTTAATGGAAGTTGGTACTGCTTCCATACTATGCAACTCTGACCTTAACTTGCAGGCAAAGACAAAGGTTGATGCAAAGGAGAGGTCTGTTCTAAAACTAAGGAAAGGGGTGATTCAAGAATATCTCCTAGGTAGCACAAGCAAAATTGTGCTATCACCAATGATAAAACAAAGAGAGAAAACAAAAGGAGACATAATAACTATGATCAAGCTTTCAAAAATCATAGGAGGCCAAATGCAAACACATAACAAGTACTCTTGTTCATGTAATCAAGCTGGGGTATATAATGGGCAAGTTTATGCAGGTAATTGATTAAATACCTAGCCAGCCACATGCCATCCTATTTACCCGGAGCCATGGTATATGCCAGCATAAATGTGTTAATATGCATATTATCAGGATAGAGAAACATGCCTTAACCTTTCAGCAGTTTGGCTCTAAATGTTCCTTGCTGTGGAGCTGAAAGCCCTCTAGGATGTAATATGTTGAGAAAGGGAATACACTAACAGGTCTAAATCTTCCCTGTATACAAAACTCGACACAAGCAAACCCATTTCTAAAATTAACTTTGTTGTACTTCTACAGCTCTATTCACAAAAGTGTTTCAAACCATGTCGAACATAAATGAAAGTGGCACAGCACCGTATAGATAGGTAAGTGTTACCCATAGATGGGGAAGCGGAGGCAAGCACTGAATCCAATAGGTTCCAAAAGTGACCTGCTAAAACACAAGAATCTTGTCCCCCAGTCTCTTGATCAGACAGCTGGACTACCGTCTTCTTGGAAGCTCCTCAGCCCTTCCACTACTAAGGAAGCTGACAGACACTGGGGGGGGGGGGGGGAGTTATCTAA